TTAAAATCCGAGCTTACCATGTAGTAGAGCACATCTTTGTGATTTCTTTTTTTCATACTATTTTCTTCACTAATAGATAATAACAGTATTACAAAGGGTATAAAATCCACTATATCCAGGATCCATACCAATATTACTCATCCAGTGCCGTTACTAGATGATACAAAACTTGTTTAAAGGGATGGCAAGTTGGATGAATTTGCAGTTGATGACGTATGCGAGGGATATCAAATGAACCAATTAGATCTGTGTGTGAACGTAACATGACCATAGGCACTGATGTCCGCGTCCATGGAATCAATCAGATATGGAATAAATCATTACATGACTATAAAAGCTGAGCCTAGAAGAAGGTGAAGCCCCCATATCAACAGAAAACGTGTCCATATACTTTGATTGCCTGGGCTCTATCCTGCTTGAATATATGTGATAAAGATTTTGTAGACCAGCCAATTCCATGTCACAAATTTTATTCAGCAATTTAGACATTACACTTGCAATTTAGACATTACAATTTAGACATTACAATTCATAGCAATTTAGACATTACAATTTAGACATTACACTTGACATTACACTTGCCCACCAACATCCCCCAGGAAACATTGTTGTCACCTTGGCATGCACAGTAAGATAGAACTGAACTCATGAGTACTACATGGACTTAGGCTGTGAGCAGTGCTTTCTGCAGTCTTTTTCCTTTATTTGTGGCATTACCCTTCATGTCTGTAGGTTAATTTTTGTACCATTAACTACAGCTTTTATTCCTGTACAAGAATATCATCATCAGTTTGTCTTAGCTTAGTGAGTCCATACCATAAAGATTAACCTAAAAGTGTTGTACAATAGAAACTAATGTTTACTTGTTCTTTTTATTTCAGGTTGTTGAATTTATAAGAAAATGGATGACACACAAGCACTAGAGTGTACTCAAGCTTTACCTGCTGACTGGGATGAGGATGATGACGATGATTCAGGAGAAAAACGTGTTGTAAGTTACATATATTATAAGAATGCTGTGGTATAAGTGATGTGGGCATTTTACAAATCAGTTTACATGTAATGTTTTCACATCAAAAGAACTTGGACAATTCATAATTTCACCTAACCAACAGTTTTCTGATGCACCTTGGTCCTTCTGGTAATACGAGTAATGCTCTGATTGATTTCATAGCTCTTTATCATAACAAATGTCAAGTTTTTGACTTATGCCTACCCCCTCAACCTGTTATCTAGGGGAACCTGTGGGAAATTGGGGTTTTTGGGTGGGTAACTTGAAATTGAGTAATATGTATTTCAAATGATGTTATCTAGGGGAACCTGTGGGAAATTGGGGGTTTTGGGTGGGTAACTTGAAATTGAGTAGTATGTATTTCAAATGATGTTATGGGAGGCTAGGTGAGGTGGACAATTGATAGTTTCACTTAAATAACAATTTTCTGAAATGCCTGATGTCTTTCTGATGATACATGTAGTGCTTTGATTGTTTTCATACCTGAATTCTTACAGGTATGTCAAGATTATTGCAAAATAAGATTACTACAAACCTTAGAATATGTGTATATATCTATTTTTTGACATGTGATTAATGCACAGTGATAGTAAGCCTTTTTAAAACTTTTGACTGTGTTTTCTGTTACTTGATGTTTATTTTGTAGCATTCTTCAATCATCTACAAATTATATAGAATTCTAAAGAAATTATAGAAGGAAACAAAAAAAAAAAATAAAAGTTCACCTAAGGTTAGTCTCCCCCTCCCGTTATGAAGATCCTCAATGATCCAATAACACTCATGGGTCTTAAAGAGTGAAAGGGACCCTTCATCACTTTTTTCATGTCCAAGGACATGGAACTCCAAGTCATTTTGAAATGGCAGTTAAATAAAGGTGCCATTGCTTGTTTCAAAGCTCCTATGTATGTACATACGTACATACATATACATATAGTGTCAAATAAAAATCTAATTTTTACTTATAGGAAACATAGACATAACTGTTACAGTGCTGCTGCTGCTTTTTTTTTCTCTCTCTTTCTTTCTTAGGACCTTATCTTCAGAACTGACCTCCAGTCAGTTTCACCCAAATCCCCCCTTGTACAGTACCCTTAAAGGTTTTGTGTACATTTTGTAATATGTTCAGAGATTGATAGTAACTGCCAGATTAGTGGAGGAAATTATTGAAAATTAAGAAAATGGGATCCATCTAATGCTGATTAGAAAAATTATATAAGTATAGAAACTTGAATTGTGATTTTGCAATTTTTCAATGCAGGTTGCATGGCTGGAAATTGAAGGTGTCCGCCATGAGCTTTTTGAGGGTGAGACCAAAATTGGGCGAGATCAGACAACATGTGGAATTGTATTACAGAACAAAGTAAGTAAAAGTTATTGATCATTGTATATTTTGAATCTTGAGACAGTTGTGCATTGTGTTGAAGCAGGCCAGGATGAAATTTGCTCTCATGTCTATATCTGTTGTGTATTTGTTGATAATTAGAACTG